GCCTCTTCTAGGAATTTTTCCATGCTAGTTCATTCCAAATCTCTATTGGTGAAATTCTCCAAAACTTTGTTTAGGCTTTTCTGTTAGTGTTGGTTTTGTAGTTGTTGTTTTCTTAAATGGTATCACTATTACTTTAGGCTGCCTTCACATACTAAAAAACGAAATGTATATAAAGAAGAAAAGAAAAGTGCTACTATGATAAGTTATTCTCCAGTTCAAACAGGCAAGATATAAATATGTGAGCTTGACTTATGTTTTCTCTTGCCATTGAATTCAAGGTTAATGTTTTCATGTATAGTGACAAGGTGCTAAATTGATCGCATAGAACATATATCCCTATCCCAGGATGATCTCTTTTATGTTTTAATTCCAAAGTGAGCACTAGGGGTTTGTATAATTAAATGACAAGTTCGGCAACATGCTCAGTGGATGTTATACCATGTACCCATGATATTAACTAAAAAGGTGTTCAGCTTAAAATAAGTTCAGTAACAAAACCCAATTATGATTCATGAATTTTCAATCTTTTGTAGTATCTAAATCAGATAACAATTTTTGAGCAAGTTGTTTGTTTGCTTATTTTGATGTTCTACTTGCTTGTCCTGTTTCAAAAACTGGTGTATGCTGTTAATTAGTATTCTGTACACTTGACTGTTTTAATAAAGATTTCCTTGGTCGGCTTCAATCTATTATATGTCGAGGATGGTGGCTTGTGTTTCACATCTTGTTTATGTCGAAAGTGTTTCTATTCTTAGCCTATTACTATGATGTGGTTCAAGTAGATCATTACCATCATTTATACCCACCCATATAATACATGCTGGTATGTTGAAATTATTTCATCAGGAAAAAAGCCTATAGTACCTTAGTTCTATCTCGCCAATGCACCACAATGTTTATCCTCTGCTGTTGTTTGGTATTTTGTTTCCACTGGATTTCATATTTATTTGATCTTTAGATGCTTGCATGTTTTGTTGCTACAGAGCAGCAGCGTAATTCAGTTATTTAACAAGTTATTTCTTATACTTTCTACAGGAATTTTGCAAAAAGGCAGTTGACATGGTTTCGCAATGAAAAGATATACCAGTGGCTTGATGGTTCTAAACCTCTGGTATAACAATCGAATCTTTCGCCACTGGGTGTTACCTCGTTAATACATGTTTCTCTTTTTATTTCACATTAACACTACTCTAAAGCCAACAAACTTGTGTTCTCATCAATTTTGAATTCATAGAAAACTACTAAAGTTATGTCTCCCTAAGATTGAAGATGTAATTGCTAGTAGTACCTTTTTCAAGTTTTAGGGGGTTGGAACTTGGAAGCAGCTGTTAACTTTCGTATTCCATTAAACCTTATGGAAAATGTTTGTTTTACTGTTGGGTAATCCGTTCTTTTGTTTATTTCTCTCTTGTATGCTTTATCTTGAAATGAACTACTCATGCCAGGAAACCATTCTCAGTTTCATTAATGGCGCATACCATGACTGGAATGGAAGTCTTCCTGTGCCTGAACACTTAAAAATGTCGAGAGATATTTCTAATCGTCGAGAAGAAAAACATCTAAAGTCTTACCGCACCAGAAATAGGTACCTTTATTTGTTTTGAGCAAAGTATAATATTAACTTATGCTAAACTATATTTCTTGCAACATAACGATTTAATTTAAGTTTTGTTTTCTTATGAAGGCATTTTGTGAAGGGGGAAGATTGTTCTCATATTCTTAATTGGATAAGCAAGACTCAAAGGTGAAGTGATGGATATTATTTTCCTTTTGCATTCTTGAACTGACTTTGAATTTCAAATTCTAGAGTTTCCCGGTCAGAGAGAAAGTTTTGTTTTCATTAACTTTTCTTCATTACATCCTTTTGTCATCTGTAATGTAATATTGTTTTCTGGAATATTATAATGACAGCTGAACTTGGAAGTTTAAGTTCTTTCCATCCTTTCACTTGTGAACCAGTGTGTGTGTGAGAGAAGAATAAAATTTTACCTTACAATTACATCATTAATAATTTAGTATAAATTGAGAATTTTATTTATTCCATCAATCAATATAGCTTCATAAAGTATTACTCTATCAATAATTGTATACGTAATATTGATTTAAGCATTGATTATAATTATGTATTATTTTGATTGTTTGTTCCATTTTTTTTTCAAAATTTTACAAATATGATATTTTTAATTTACATGATTTCTTTTTTTAATTTACATGAATGATAAAATTTTAAACATGATTTAATATAGGAAATTTAAAAATGATCTAATAATAATGAATGGTTTGACAATACGTGAGTTTTATATAAGTATAATTTCTTTTCTCTCGAATTTGTAAGAACGTAGTATATTATAGTTTGAACACGTGTTTTCTTATATTATTTCTTTTCTCTCTTTATTATGTATTTATAAGAACATATTATGCGCGTCTTCTTATTCATTCGAAATGGGTATAAATAGTGAAATTAAATGACTACATTCAACTCTCTAATTTATGCATAGCATAATTAATAGGAACTATTGACTTAATTGTAAGAAATAAATTAATAGGAGGATAATTTTGAGCCTAATAACACAATCAATTGGCTTAATTACATAAGAATAATTCATATTTCATAACCATCATGCACAAATGTTAGATGGGCTGAAAATTTTCAAAAGAATACAAGGTAATAGGCCTTTGGTGAAGATATAAGATATTTGGTGATGAAAAAATATATGAAGAACTCGTGCTTGTTTGTATGCTACTTTTTCTCAAACAAAATGAATATCTATCTCAATGTTTTGAATGTTGATATTGCATAGGATTATTGGATATATAAATGACACTAACATTATCGCAATATACTAAAGTAACTTAAGGGAGAGGAAAATGAAGCTTTAAGAGAAGATTGCAGGGCCAACAAGATTCTGAAACAACATTGGCAAGAGATGAAGTTGTCACCAAGAGACATATAGTAACTAAATGTGGAGCGTTTGGTGTCAGGACATCCACCCCAATCAACTTCAATATAAGAAATAAGTTTCTCAATCACAAATAGAGTTGCAAATCATACTATAAGGTACCTTGAACATATTATAGAATGAGTTTTAATGCTAGTATGTGCCTGGTGTAAAGGGCATGCATGTAAAGACAAACTTGCTGAACAACATATGAAATATTAGGGTAAGTGAAGGTGATATACTATAGGGTGCCGACAAGATTCTAGTACATAGTGTGATCCTCATATGGTGTGCTAAAGGATGTATTGAGCTTTTGCTTGGTATCAGCTAGAGTAGTAGAAGGATTACAAGAAGTCATGCCGATGCATGCAATGATGTCACAAACATAGGTACTCTGACTGAGGAACAAGACTCGCACGTCTTGTCGTAAAAATGCTAAGAAAATAACTCAAAGGACCACGATCCTTCATAGCAAATTCAGAGGCAAGGAATGTCATGATATTTGTACTAGTTATGGGATGAGGTGATGAGAATGATGTCATCAACATAAAGAAGGATGTATACCATGTCAGAACCACATTGGTAGATGAAGAGGGAGTGATCTGAAACGCTATGCTGGAACCCAATGGTAGAAACATAGTCAACAAAGTGTTGATACCAAGCTTGAGGCGCTTGCTTCAAATCATAAAGAGACTCCCTCAAACGATAAACGTGATTAGGGTAAAAGAGATAATGGAAACCAAACGATTGATGCATGTATACACTCTTATGTAGATTACCATGGAGAAATCCATTCTAAACATCTAACTGATGAATGAGCTAGGATTTGGAGAGAGCAATGGTAAGAATCGTGCGAATGGTTGTTGGTTTCACCACGGGACTAAACGTCTCGTCACAATTCGCACTTGCAATTTGAAACCTACCATCACCTGCAAGATGAGCTTTGTAATGCTCAAAACAACCATTAGATTCTTTTTACATATGAAAATCCACATACGGTGAATGATATTAACATCACAAGGTCGCAAAACCAAATCGCATGTATTATTTTTAATTAAAGCATCAAATTCAAACTACATTATAGATTTTCAGTTAGGACCCGATAAAGTAAGGGTGAAACTTTTTGGAAGAGGTGATATTGTCGACTCAACAATGGGAAAATAAAGGTTAATGAACTTTATGGTTTTGTAGACATCAGTCATATTACGAGTGGTCATGGTCCTAGTAGGAGGGGCCGGTGTGATGAAAGTGTAGGGTTCGGAGGTAGGGTAGGCTGATCTAAATTAAGAAAGGTAGATAGGCTGATCGTGGAGTGTGATGTGTTGGATGAAGATGAAGGTAATCTTGCAAAATGTCAGCTTGCTTTGAAGATCCTATAGGACAAGTCCATTGAGACGTGGGATAAGGACAAAGAGGTATGCCCCAAGGAGGGGAGTCCAACCCCATGGATTCTAAGGAAAACACTGAGGTGACTGCCATGATGGAGAAAGAGCTACAATAAGAGAAGTAGACAAACCAAATAGACTATTTGAGTGAGATCTATTACGCTGATTATGCCTACTAGAGTGACCTTGGCTGCTGCGATTCGATTGGACCCATAATAATTGTTTGAGTAACAGTTGGAGCGTTGCTGTGAGGAGTGATTAATGTCTTGTGAGGATGAAGTGTGCATGACTGTATGAGAAGTAGTGGTTTGCATCTTTGCCAAACCAGATTCCTCAAAAGTGAGCATATAATGATTTTGGCAGAAGGGAGGCAAAAGGTTGTTTAGACAAATTAGGGTGACTACACCATGAAAGGGCTTAGAAAAACTAGAGACTAGCTATAGTACCAAATGATGATTGTTAACAGGAACACCAACATTTTCCAACTGATTATAGATTTGTTTGAGTCATTGATAATATGCAAAAACATTTAGAAAGTCATTCATGAGAGCGAACATGAAATCCTACTTGAAAGCAGAAACACGAGAATTTTGTTTGTCCTAACAAATGGTAGTTAAACAATTCTAGATACCCACAGAATCAATAGTCACTAAAAAAAAGTTGATATTTTTCGAAATTTTTTATTCCAATTTACGGGGGTTTATACCCTTTGCAAATTAATTTGCTGGGGTTTTTTAAACCTCCACAGTTAGAGCCACAACCATTTTGCAGAGGTTTATGATGACCCTTAGTATTGAATTTATATTGTGGAGGTTTTCTTATAAGGGTTTTAATCTCTTCTATTTTCAAATGCAAATGCAAAGAATACTCCTAAGCCCAAAGAAAAAGTTTTTCTAAAATGCTTTCAAACAACCTAAGTACCATGAAGACTTAAAAGAAAAACAAGACAATGTATAAAAGGAAAGTAGAAGGAATTAAATGGTATGTAAAGAAGTAAACTAACGGGCCTATGGAAAGATGCAAATGACACTTAGGAGCCACTTGACACACCTTCAATTCTAAGAGTGGAAACTAAACTATTACACAATTTTAGCAATGGAGATGAGATTGTATCAAAGACATTTTCCCAAGACACCAAGCAAATAAGAAAATGAAACCAAAAAATTACAAGAAGACAAATGTTCCATGATACAAAAATAGCAAATAAAAGTGCAAAAACAACTCCTAAATTCTTGGTTCCTTCAAGTGTTTATCCTCTCTTGATGTTCACTCCAAATCCGTGCATAACTCCTTCTCCCAAAGTCCAAAGAAATGCTTCTATTAGCCTTCTTTCAAGCCTTCAAGATGCTACATTCAAAATTAGTTAAACTCATAAAAGAAAGCACCAAAAAACATTGATTTCAAGCACCAAAGAGGCCAAAGAATGAAAGCAACAAAAGCACAATTTGAAAGGTAAACTCAAATGGAGTAAGATGAGACAATATTTCAAAGAAAGCCAAGAATGACAAGCAAAAAATTGAGGCTATCAATTAGGTAAGTACTAAAAAGGAATCCCTAGGGAAATGTGCTAGAATAGATGAATAAAATCAAAATAAAACTAAGAATACAAGACCAAACAACTTAGCCAAGTTAAAATACTTGCTTGAAAATGCAAACTATACTAAAATCAAGTCCAAAATGAGTTTACAAGTTGTTGTGTCCTTTTTCTTTTGGTATTTTTTTCTACTTCTTTTGTCCCTTTTCTTTTCTTCTTTTGCTTTGTTTTTGAGGGAACTTTTGTTTTTCTCAATATATTTTCCAGAACACAACAATCATCATATTTCTTTCACAACTCATACTCAAAATCAAGGATAAAGCAACTAGTGTATATATAAGGTTAGAACTTTGAACGAAATTTCAAAACTTAGTAAAAATGGGGAACAAAACTTTCAAAACGTTAATATCTTGAGCACATAACTCCGATTGGGGTGTTTCTAAAACGAGGCGAAAGCTCACATTCTAAAGTTCAATTTTGGCTCAATAAATACTCAATTTGGACACGTAAAACATAAATTATGACTATGAGATAAATTGGACAAAATTGAATTTCTATAAATAAGGAGGAAGAAAGAAAAACAAAGTGACAAAGAAAATTGAAAGGAAAGAATCACTCTTTCTAAGGGAGGAAACACATAAGGATGGAAAGTCCTTTGATACAACCAAGGGTTCTTGAATCACTCATGAACTTAGGAGAATCACTCTCACAAAGATAAAAGCGTAAGAAACTCTAATATTCTGCACAAAAGCTTCACTCTTATTCTTTTATGAAAACGGTTAAGCTTTTAAAATTTTTCGCCATGAGAATTACAAAAGAGTTAATGATTGATGGTAACTACAATTTGTGGCAACCAAAAGTCACCAAAATAACAATCAACTTTGCATCTCTTTAGTTTTCCAAAGGTTGATGACTAAGTGGTCAATTGAGCCTTTATTAAAATTTAAAATAAAAAGCAAAATAAAGTCCATTAATTGATTAATCCAATACATAATTTGGTCAACCAACGTACAAAGCATTGGACCATTATTTAAATAAAGTAATAACTTAGAATAAAAGAAAAAGGAACCAAGTGATTTTTTAGTCTTCCTCCAATTGGGCCATGATACAATTAACCACCTTGGTATTT